GGAACAACCTCTGTTGCTGACAGTAAGATTATAAGGTGTGCAAGGATAGATGAAATTGTTTATGTAATAATCTCCGTTGAGGTCTGATAAAGACCTTTTGTGCCCTCTGTAATCCTTTTTGCGCTACGGCTCACAGGATGAGTATGGGGTGCACAATAAACTAGCCGCCTCCGGCGGCAACAATCAATCAATCCTCTGCAAATGTTGACAAGAGTTGCAGTCGACAAAAGGAATAAGTGTTTGGTCAGCGACACCAGAACAGTCTTACGGCTAGATATGGCAGACACACATATATGTCCATATGTGTGCGTGTGCGTGTGTGTGTGTGTGTGTGTGTGTGTGTGTGTGTGTGTGTGTGTGTGTGTGTGTGTGTGTGTGTGTGTGTGTGTGTGTGTCCCCTCACCCACCCACCGTGACCACATAATTGCTAAACTATAAAATATTGTAATGCTGAACTTATTTAGTTACATCAGTGGGGCCTGGGGGTACCACAGCTTATTAAGTACCCATGTGTTAGTGAGGGTGGAGATAGTGACAGTGGTGGTGATAGTGGTGATAGTGGTGGTGATAGTGGTGGTGGTGTGGGCAGGTCAACCGAGAAATAGGTGTAGATATAAGTGAGAGCACAGTAAAGGCGGGCCGCCGCCTGCTAAACTCATTACTTCTCTCTCTCTCTGCCTACACCCTGTGTGTCTGTGTGTGTGTGTGTGTGTCCCGTACACATACACACGTAAGGCTGTGTGTGTGGCGGAGTTTCATACAAACGAGCAAGTGTTTTTCCTTGTTTGTAAAACAGTCCAATTTTAGCCAAGAAGTCTGCTCTCCTTAAGACTTTTTCCTTCTTTATTTCTTCAGTTTACATGTATGTATGTATGTATGTATGTATGTATGTATGTATGTATGTATGTATGTATGTATGTATGTATGTATGTATGTATGTATGTATATACATAACCAAAGAGTCGAAGTTCAATCCCCCGCAAGCACAACAACTAGGTGAGTACGTGTATGTATACAAGAATGTATTTATCAGTCTTCTGAAGACGTATTATTAAATACGAGAGTACTTAAGGAAATTCGTGTCTTAATTCTTCCTTCGTGGTCTGACACACACATTGTCCTTCGTGTATTAATTTGTTAGTGATTTACACACACACACAAGGGTGTATATGTGCGTGAGTACATACATATATGTAGAGATTATAGAAACAAAATACTATCTCTTTTCATTTGATGTATTTGTCCAGTGAATTAATTATTATTTTATATTTCCTTCTGAATTTTACGCAGTAAAGAGGAAGAAATATTCGGCGGCCGGTGTTGGGCGCGTCCACACCTGTCTCAGGTGTTGGGAGCGTCCACACCTGTCTCAGGTGTTGGGAGCGTCAACACCTGTCTCAGGTGTTCGGCGCGTCAACACCTGCCACAGGTGTGAGGCAGGTGTCAACATCTGCCTCAGATGTTGACGCCTAATTACCCAAAGTTTCCTAGCAGTACGTAAGTAATGAAGAAATATGACATATTTTCTCACTATAATGTTGGTGCTGAATATAGAACATGGAAAAAAAAAACATATTTTTACTCTGAAATAATATTTCCATTAAAACGAAATTAAGATGAAACTAAGTAGCAGGTAATGCCATAGGAAGTCGACGATCCAAGCGACAATCATGTGGCTTTGGGTAATTAGATGGACCCAATTTCGTTACAGGATATTATTTCTGAGTAAAAAAATATGTTTTTTTCATGTTCCATGCCAGCACCATCTTCATAGTGAGCAAATATATAATATTTCTTTATTACTTTCGTAATGCTAGGAAGCTTTCGGTAATTAGGAATACTAACCTCTTAATACACGTGTATTTGGAGGTTAGGTTAGGTTAGTTTAGTTTGCCTAACTCAATAGTTCAGGTTTCTACTTTCTAATTTCGTTGTACGTCGGTATATATATATATATATATATATATATATATATATATATATATATATATATATATATATATATATATATATATATACTATGGCTGACATAATCGTTACTATAAGTATTACCAAAAACGGGAGGACGGGTTGCTTTAATTTATTGACTGTTACCTCTGCATTCTGTTTGAGAGAGAGTTGAAAATCCATCGCCTCACTTGTTATTCCTATTTATCTCATTTTATGGGCTATCACTCCATGGTCACACTTGTCGAATGGCTTTCCAAAGTCTGTGTATACAACATCTGCATTTTGTTTTTCTTCTAATGCTACTGTGATTTTGTCATAGTGGAAGAGTAACTGTGACAGGACAGGATTTTCCCGCTCTAAATCCATGTTGTCCTGGGTTGTGAAGGTCATTGTTTTCCATAACGCTGAAAATTTGGATCCTAATACAGTAGGTATTGTATTAGGATACAATACGTACGTCTCTGGCATCATTTATACGTATAAATACAATACGTGTAAAAAGTTCTCTTAAATAGTTCTCACTCCTTGCATTGACTGGGACTACAGTCAAATACATTAATATTTTGCAGTTATCTGGTGTTTATGTTTGGGTGTCGTCATTTTTTAAGGAACGAGTCTAATATAATTCCGATGCTTGGCTTACAGTTTAGTGCCAAGTATTAATATCAAATACAGTTTATTGCGGAATTACAGGAGTTACTCCTGAAAAGTGGTCTCTGGCATCATAGAAAACTGTCCAAATTTTAATCCCAAACAAATATAGAACCGCCATTTTCAACATAGGACAGACATAAATCTGTGTATTTATGTGTGTAAGTTCGATTAGCATTTTAAAAGCACTACAATCACCTTCTGTGGTTGATTGTTCAATAAATCTCTGAACTGTATGTTTGACAAATCTCTCTCCCTGTCCATGGAGGACAGAAGAAAATGTATATATGCTGGTTAGTATTGTAAATGTCTGGCCACGTCTGTGGTAGAAAATAATAATAATAATAATAAAATATAATTTAGCTGGCGTTGTTGTTGGGGACAGGAAGCCTGTACTAAGGGTCATCGAGGCACTCTCTAGGCCGACTCTGACCTTCCACAGGACGCACTTTACAACACTTGCCTAACTTCCGGGTGCCTTCTGTTACTGCTAGGTGAACAGCGGCATTAGGTAAAGGGAAAGGAAACATGCCCAACCATTTCGGTCTGGCCTGGGGACTGCATCCTCGATTGCGAGGTGGGAATGTAGCCCACTATAGTATAGGAATCATTTTGTTCACAACTGTATTCATCACTACAGTATACAGTACTTGCTATTTTAGTCAGTAAACTGTATCCCTCCAGTACCGTACCCTCCAGCACTGTACCCTCCAGCACTGTACCCTCCAGCACTGTACCCTCCAGCACTGTACCCTCCAGCACTGTACCCTCCAGCACTGTACCCTCCAGCACTGTACCCACCAGCACTGTACCCTCCAGCACTGTACCCTCCAGCACTGTACCCTCCAGCACTGTACCCTCCAGCACTGTACCCTCCAGCACTGTACCCTCCAGCACTGTACCCTCCAACACTGTACCCTCCAGCACTGTACCCTCCAGCACTGTACCCACCAGTACTTAGGCGAAAGCAGCTGCCTCACCTAACCTTCTTTTAATTTAAAGTCAAAACAAATCGTAGTCCCTCCCTTACTGACCCGGTCACTACACCCCCAGTAAGGCGGACAACATCACACGCTGAGCAGGCCAATACAGCATCTTCCCCCCCCCCCACCCCCCCGCGCCCAACTACATTCCATACATTGCCTATACAACGCCCTATACATTCCCTGCCCACCGTCAGCACTGCTCTAGTGCTCCCAGGAATTTTGTGGCCCTTACTGACTCATGCCACGCTCATACAACCTTTATTATACCATATGTCATTCCATAATTTCAAGCATTTTTAACATATAACAATAATAATAACTTATACAATACACACAAGATCATGTTACAGGGGAGAATAAGGAGGTACGGAAACTGTATATTATATAAAGGTACTAATATGCGAAGCGTATTATTTTGTCAGTCAATTCATTTCACATTGATGCGTATTTCTTTATCTTAAGATGATTTCGGGGCTTTTTTTTTTTTTAGTGTCCCCGCGGCCCGGTCCTCGACCAGGCCTCCACCCCCAGGAAGCATCCCGTGACAGCTGACTAACACCCAGGTACCTATTTTACTGCTAGGTAACAGTTTCGTGTGAAGAAATGTATTGAATTCTCATTTATGTCTGTGAAATTTATCGCTACCTTGTCTCTCTTCTCTTCTGTTAGTGCTGCGTTATCTTGTTATCGCATTCTGCCTTCTTCCCCACCTCCGCCATACCTTGAGGTTACCTTGAGGTGCTTCCGGGGCTTAGCGTCCCCGCGGCCCGGTCGTCGACCAGGCCTCCTGGTTGCTGGACTGATCAACCAGGCTGTTGCTCGCAGCCTGACGTATGAGTCACACAGCCTCAACAACCATTCGTTGTTTATTTCAACTTATCCTCTATCAGTCACTTCAGACTTAACTATCCATTTCAACGCTTCCACTCTTGCTCTTAAGTCTAGCTTCAGCACTATCCTGTTTCAACTTCCCCATCTCCCACAAGCCCAACCTGCTCCGTCTAATTACCCAAAGCTTCCTAGCATTTACTTACGAACTATGATATATTTACTCACTATAATGTTGGTGCTGAATGTAGAACATGAAAAAAATATTTTTACCCTGATATAATAACATTTTATAACGAAATTGGGTTCATCTAATTACCCAAAGCCACAACATCGTCGCTCGGATCGTCGACTTCTTATGGCGTCACCTGCCACTTTAGTTTCGTCAAATTTCGTTATAAAATTATATTATTTCAGGGGTAAAAATATATTTTGTTCTACATTCAGCACCAACATTATAGTGAGTATATATATATAATATTTCCTCATTACTTACGTTCTGTTACGAAGCTTTGAGCAGCTTCCCGGAGATGGAAGGTGAACACAGGTCCACTACTGACACTATATATAATAAAAGTAGCTTACCTCTCTATCATCGCCAGGAAGGTTCTCTTCAGGAGGGAGCTCCGGGAGGCGGGAGACCTTCCTGTCGTAGCAGCAGCGGTGCAGCTGTCGGTCAAGGAAGCGGAAATTCTCGTAGGTGCGTCTCAAGACCCAGGAGCGGCCGAGGGAGGCCACCTGCACCAGAAGGGAGCGGTTCTCAGCGTCCTCGCCCCCGCCAGAGCAACCTCCGCCGCTAGACAACGGCTTCAGCTCCTCCCGTACCAGCGACACCTGTGGAGGAGGTGGAGAGATGTATTAGGGTTGAGCACACACAGATCACACGAACGTGATGCATCAAATGAACAAATCCACAAGGGCCGTGACGAGGATCCTCGTCACGGCCCTTGTGGATTTGTTCATTAGGGTTGAGTGTGGGCGGTGAACAGCAGCGCCGCCTCGCTAACACAACTATACTCGCTAACTATACACTTCGCAACACTCTGTCAATTGTTTCTGTAGGAACCATACCCTAAAGTTGTATTCTAGTTTCAGCAACACCATCCAGATCTCTGCCGGACCACCATTCACGGCTAACTTAACCCTTTGTACTTTAATATTTACTCTAATATTAGTAATGCAAATTTAAATAAAAAAATCTCTTTAGTGAGTCTAAAATAAAGAGGACTACACCGAGGCAATACATGAATGATACAGGTATTTGTATCCAATAAAGGAGGTAAACCGTTTAATTACCTAACACAATATTAATAACTGCGTTTAAACACTACAAATAATATGTTAAGGATTACCACTGCAAAGTTCATTACTAAATAACTTCGCTCAGAGTCACGTAACAGGAAGAATTTGTTTATCTTTGAGTGAGTGACAATTATGAAAGTTGAGTGTGAGGGTTTGAACCATGATTCACATTTATGAAGCTGTGTGTGTGTGTGGCCTCACAAGGTGTGGCACTGGGTGCCATCTGGAGGTACAGGGCTCGGGGGAGGAGTAGGAAAGGAGGGAGAGAGAGAGAGAGAGAGAGAGAGAGAGAGAGAGAGAGAGAGAGAGAGAGAGAGAGAGAGAGAGAGAGAGAGAGAGAGAGAGAGAGAGAGAGAGAGAGAGAGAGAGAGAGAGAGAGAGAGAGAATGATGACCATGACAGGAGTTGAGAAGTTTAGTTGAGATTGAACGTGTTCAGTTGCCCTACAACCTCTTGGTTGACAGTTCCCACTGACGCGGAGTGCGCCCCTTGGACCAACGGCGTTAGAGTCGTGTGTGTATTTGCTATTTGTGCATGCAGGACCTAGCTATTAGCTCTTGGGCCCCGCCTTTACTAATCTTTTTTAACGTATTTTCCTCTATCACATCTTTTACATATTTTTGTAACACACACACACACACACACTTTGACACTGAAAAAATCTTTCTAATGTTTCTGTGGGTCATTTGTGTACTAAGTTTACAGCTGTGTCCCCTTGTTCGTATTCCACCCTGTGTGCGTGCGTGCATGCGTGCGTGCACGTGTACTCACCTAATTGTGCTTGCGGGGGTTGAGCTCTGGCTCTTTGGTCCCGCCTCTCAACCGTCAATCAACTGGTGTACAGATTCCTGAGCCTATTGGGCTCTATCATATCTACATTTGAAACTGTGTATGGAGTCAGCCTCCACCACATCACTTCCTAATGCATTCCATTTACTAACTACTCTGACACTGAAAAAGTTCTTTCTAACGTCTCTGTGGCTCATTTGGGTACTCAGCTTCCACCTGTGTCCCCTTGTTCGCGTCCCACCAGTGTTGAATAGTTCATCCTTGTTTACCCAGTCGATTCCCCTGAGGATTTTGTAGGTTGTGATCATGTCCCCCTTACTCTTCTGTCTTCCAGTGTCGTAAGGTGCATTTCCCGCAGCCTTTCCTCATAACTCCTGCCTCTTAGTTCTGGGACTAGTCTAGTAGCATACCTTTGGACTTTTTCCAGCTTCGTCTTGTGCTTGACAAGGTACGGGCTCCATGCTGGGGCCGCATACTCCAGGATTGGTCTTACATATGTGGTGTACAAGATTCTGAATGATTCCTTACACAGGTTCCTGAACGCCGTTCTGATGTTAGCCAGCCTCGCATATGCCGCAGACGTTATTCTCTTTATGTGGGCTTCAGGAGACAGGTTTGGTGTGATATCAACTCCTAGATCTTTCTCTCTGTTTCATTAAGTACTTCATCTCCTATTCATTATAATTATAATATTGATCGTGTCATTATAATACTGTGCATCTTCCGTGACAACTAGAGATGGTAGCATCTTGGGTGTAGAGAGGAAGAGCAGTGAAGGAGCCAAGGTAGACACATAGGAGAGACAGGAGAGAAGCAACAGCCTAGTGGACCAAACTCTCACAAGTCAAGCCTGGCCTCGGGCCGGGCTTGGGGAGTAGAAGAACTCCCAGAACCCCATCAACCAGGTATCAACCAGGCACCTTCCCAGATCCACACTCACCACACTCACACACACTCACACACTCACACACACTCACACACTCACTCACTCACCACCTCGCCTCAATTTCCTCCCAGGAACGATGTTAATACTTTTCCCTTGTGACCGACGCTCTACCTTGCTTCAAGAAACACAACACTGTAAATGACCCTCATAAAACCAGTCATTCAAGAGATGAGACACTTTTTAAAGACAAATAAGATTCAGGTCACAGCTACAGAACCAGGAAGACCTTTTGACCATTACGACATAATTACAGAGGCATTCAAAACCAAACCAGGATGAAGACGACAGATACAAACATTTCACGAAATCATTTTGATAAGTGTGAAGATGCAGATGTGTCACAGACATGTTGATGTGTCACAGACATGTTGATGTGTCACAGACATGTTGATGTGTCACAGACATGTTGAAGTGTCACAGACATGTTGATGTGTCACAGACATGTTGATGTGTCACAGACATGTTGATGTGTCACAGACATGTTGATGTGTCACAGACATGTTGATGTGTCACAGACATGTTGATGTGTCACAGACATGTTGATGTGTCACAGACATGTTGATGTGTCACAGACATGTTGATGTGTCACAGACATGTTGATGTGTCACAGACATGTTGATGTGTCACAGACATGTTGATGTGCCACAGACATGTTGATGTGTCACAGACATGTTGATGTGCCACAGACATGTTGATGTGCCACAGACATGTTGATGTGTCACAGACATGTTGATATTTAAATTCTTAACATACATTTAACTAGTATTAAACCCCTTATACCCTTAACTAGACCATGGTAATCCACCCATACATTGATCCTAGAAACCAACTACACATAAGCAACTCGGAATGTCTGGAATCACTGCACTAGACAACCGCCGGCTAGAAAAGCTGGGTCCAAGAGCTACAGGTCGACCCTGCAGGCACACAAACAGATGAGAGTGTGGCCCCGGCACTGGACCACAACCGTTCTATCGGGTTTCAGGGAAAACATTGCCATACTTTGTATGTCACGGTTTAATTTCTTGGGGTAAATTTATTGTCTCCCTTACGTTCTTTGTGCATTGTAATTGACTACACTGGGGAGGGCTGGGATGGATTTAGGTTCGTTAGGATAGGATTGGGCTGGGTTAGGATAGGATTGGGCTGGGTTAGGATGGGATTCGTTAGGTTAGGCTATATTTTATTTGGTTAGGCTGGTTTGAGTTAGGTTTGCTTGCTTAGGGTTCGCTAGGCAAAGCTAGGCTTGATTTGTGTTAGATTAGGTTGAGTTTAGGAATGATTTAAGACTTCAACTCTGTAATTAGTCCCATTTCTTTCTTCTGTTTTCTTCAGCCTTGCAAGAATTTGTTGGTTATGAAAGATTAGAAAACCTGAATAATTGATGAGACAACAAGAATTATTCTTTTCTAATTCTTCACAACTAATAATTTTTACAAATTTCAAAGTGTCATGAGAACAATTACAAAAATCCAGCGCTTTTTCAATGTCTTGAGATCATCACAAATTAATTCAAAACACAAAATGTTTATTCTTTAAATTTTGGAAAATAATATTTTCAAATCTGCCACTTCAACCAGCTGGCCCTCCAGGCCCACCAGCTGGCCCTTCATGGCCCACCAGCTGGCACTCCAGGTTCACCAGCTGGCACTCCAGGCCCACCAACTGGCCCTCCAGTGATTCAGTCCCAATAAAATGTCCTCCCCAGCTCCTGATCCAGGTCTTCAAGCACCACTGAATGGCTCCCAGGTGACGCTGCGAGAGAGAGAGAGAGAAAGAGAGACACAGAGACAGACAGACAGACAGACAGACAGACAGACAGAGACAAAAAGACAGAGAGCTTATTTCAGCTTCACCAAGACAGTTCAAGTAGACTGTTGCTTTTGAACTGTACACTTCCAGTCACCACTCAGCCAATCCCCGCAGTACACACATGGTGTACAAAGACACCATTCACCTTCCCAATATTCCTGTTACTCCTGTCAGATGACCAACCGACCAACTTAAAAGTTTATAAAGATAAACTGAAATACCCAAGTGTATTGCTGAAGGTCACACACACACACACACACACACACACACACACACACACACACACACACACACACACACACACACACACACACACACACACACACACACCCACAAGGCAGTAGTACTCCCGCCACCAGCGCCAGACCAGGTATGCAAATGGCAGAGCGAGAACTGCCGTGGTTGACTCGACACCCCACGCCAACCATGCACCACGCCAACCATGCACCCCGCCAGCCATGCACCACGCCAACCATGCACCACGCCAGCCATGCACCACGGCACCATGCACAGAGGGGCGTGTACCAGTAATGTTATTTACACTGGCGAGGTTGGGGAGAGTGTGTGAGGGGTCGTTGAGAGATGCCGGTGGTGGGGTGTAAGGGCTCAGTGCTTGGCAGGGTGGTTCAGCCAGCGGCTGGGATTTACCCGTGGCTGGGATCGAGGGTGGTGATATCAAGGCTTCCTTGGTGACCGTCTCGTCTATCACATACGCCTTCCGGGGGGGGGGGTGGGGGCTTGGGGAGTCGGGTGGGGGTAGGGTGGAGGGGGGAGGGGCTCGGCTCAAGTAAAAGTTTGGGGTCCCTTGGTAGAGAGTTAAAGTAGAATACGGGTACAGAGAGGGGATAGAGAGTACGAATACCCCCCCCCCCGTGTTACACCCATCCTGTGGGTGGTAGTGGGCCCCATACCCATCCTGTGGGTGGTAGTGGACTCCATACCCATCCTGTGGGTGGTAGTGGACCCCATACCCATCCCGTGGCTG